ACGGTATGGTCTCTAGTGCTAACAACGAAGTTCTCCAGCCAGCCGCCGATGACTGCACAATGCCTGCAGACTCGACGCCCCCCCCCCCCCCCCCTTCAAAGCTGTCTCATCATGTCCAAGGAGAGACTGACGACAATGATGTCATCCTGAAGGTTGACGACGGCGAGAAGCGTTGGAAGGTTAAATGGGTATGGAAGTCTGGTGAAGAACCCAAAGGCCGTGATGGTCCGGGAATCAGCGAGTACCCGCAGAAGAACATTACCGCAGAAGAGGAGACACAATTCTGCTCAGCTGCGGATGAGTGGATTGAAAGAGGCTGGCTGGTGAAGCACACCGCTGACACCCATGGTCGCCCAGCCTGTGTCTTGCTGTTGATTGCTGTGAGTCAGCCGCACAAGACGACTACGCCTGTGCGTCCGGTGTTAGACTATCGCCACTTGAACAAGTTGTCAGTGTCCCACCCTGGAACTAAATATCATGTGTGCGCCGAGTCAATGCGCCAGTGGAGGCTCAAGGGTGCGAAGCTGACGAGTTTGAGTTACTGGACATTACCAAGGCGTACTTGCAAATCCATGTCAGCCCGGAGTTGCTACGGGTCCAAGTTGTAGAGTGGCGTGGTGTTCTCTACGTAATGACGCATATGGCGTTTGGCCTGAGTGTGGCGTCGACGTTCATGAACACCATCATCAAGTACACTACCGGCAGCTTGCCCGAGACAGATAATTATGTCGACGACATCATTGTTTCCAAGAGTCAACGGACTGTGTTGACAGAACATCTTGCTAGCTACAGCCTGCCAACTTAACCAGCAATGGAGATGTCGGCGGCTGGTGTTCTCGGGTTGCAGCTCAATGAGTCAGAGGATGGTGGAGTGCGCCTTTCCCGGCGTGATGAATCGCCTGTCGCATTTGCCGATGTCACAACGAAACGTGAGCTATACAAGTGGTGTGGCCAGTTGACGAGCCACGGCCCTGTTGCATCATGGCTTTGTCCTCATTGAAGTTGGCTGAAGCGTTTAGCATGTCTGGAGAAGCTTGGCTGGGATGATCCGATACCGGCAGATCTCGTACAATGCTGCAGGAGTCTCGCTTGTCGTTTAAGCCAGCACGATCCTGCTACCGGCATGTGGCATGTAGAAAGCTAATGCCAAGGGTGGTGCGATGCATCTGATATTGCTGTCGGCCTGGCGTTGGAAGTCGGTGGTGACATCGTCGAGGATGGTTCGTGGCTTCATAAGTCTGACGACAAGCGGCATATTAACATTTCTGAATTGGAAGCCGCAGTCGAAGGCATTTCCCTTGCCGCTAAGTGGGGAGATTCCCGTTTCTAGCTGTTGACTGACCCAAAGACAGTGGCAACTGGGCTGACGCAAGTGGTCACCAACTCCAAACGTGTGAAGACCATATCCGGGACACCGCCGGGGCAGCTAAGCTGCAGATTGTGCATGTAAACCGGTTGAAGAGATGCCGTGTGAGGCCTGACCATCTGCTTCCAGCAGTAGGAGAGGATGTCACGGACTCAACCGAGTTGCAGCCACTAACGACGGCAGATGATTCTGCCGGCTCTGGGTCGTAGGAGCCTGATACTACCGATGTGTTGTATTCGGCCGATGACGACGGTATTTGTGCCGAAACCTATGGTGGACTGGATGTGCCTCCGGCAGCTCCAGTTGACTTGCCCGGTGCACCCATCGCGGCACCTGGGGGACGACCTATCCAAAACAGGCAGCCGCCGTGGTATCTCGCTGAGTATCATGTTGGTTGAGTACAATCACGGGGACGTGATTCTTTAATGGCGCGGGAAATGTCACGTCCTGGACGCGACGCTCGCAGTATGACAGGTCCTGTGTTAGCAGGATCTATGTAAGTTAGAGCGCAGCTCTGTGTTTGAGCTGTCACAATCTATACTATCACATGGTTTGGCCAGTGTCTTGTGCCACGTGTTGAGCATGTAGGTTGAGCGGCACGAGCTGTTCCATGTAGGTGTCAGGCTTTTTAGGCGTGATATCCCATGTCGGTGTCATGTCTCTTGGACATGACACATCGTGGGATTCACCGCCGGAATCTGGTCAGGTAGGTTCTCGCGTGGAATGTTCTAGGAATGTTCCCGGAGGTTCTGTACTTCCTGGAAATGTTGCTTCATGCAAAATCATGTGACTGTGAAGTCCTATTGATTTCCATGATCCCTTTCGCGCTTCGTGCAAGACACGAAGGGCCGTGCGCAAAAGAGTGAGAGCTGAGTGCAGAAGAATAGGAGCTGAGTGTAGAAGAACGAGAGGCGTGCGCAAAAGATAGGGGAACCGTGCGCAAAATGAAGGCACAAAAGGGAGGCGTGGCAAGCGTGGTACAGCAACGCCGCGGTGACCTGCGAAGGGCCCGCCAGTGAAGTTCCCGGAAAAGGGCGCAGTATTTGGCACAACATCCCGCCGGAGTTACGCTGTTCTATCACGTCGGGTGAGCGGGCTCCCCGACGTGATCCATATATCTCACAATTTCTGCGGAGACGTAGGTGAGCGGGCTCCCTACGTCCCGATCCGGCCTTTTGCTCCGTTTGTGCTTCTTCTTCATTGTCGTTTTCCGTTATTTGAACTTTTGATCTTGTGCTATTTCCTACCATGCCTGAGCTGTCAAACCTGTATTACATGCCGCCTTCGAAGAAACAATCACACAATGCTTTGCACGAACCTCTCTCTCTCTCTCTCTTCGTTCTAGTGTATAAAATGAACGATGTCTTCACCATAACTCACATAACTCTCTCCCGGACTTGATTGATCGACTGAGATTCTCAGAATCCTTACCTGTCTTCGCTTCGTTGTCAAGTGTGAATCAAGGTGAGCAGAGCACTAAGTTGGGTCGTCGACTATATTGGTCGACCGTCTGGCGGTTGGATTTGGTTGGGTTGTGAGTGATCAGGACGGGCAACGAACCTCGCAGGGATGTGAACACATATTAATACGAAATGTGGGCTTTGTGCAGCAAAGCCTAGTTAGCCCTGGCACACGCGCAATATTGGTATGTTGCTGTGAATGTGTGTCAGGTGACTGTCCCTGCACGATTTGCAAGCTCGCGAAATTTTACGGAAATCCTGTAATGGTGTCATATCGGAAGACGTGTCTTCTTCAAGCTCTTGAACTGTCGGGATGTGAAGGAGCGTTTCTTTGCAGTTGATTTCTTGATGTGTCAAAATGCAGTTTTAGCTTTTCCGTCAGTTTGTCCAGTTAGTTTCTTTCTCTCTTGGCATTGTCGACTTGCTAAAGCTTTTGATTCTTGTCACCTGGCCGGCAAACAAACCTGCAGTTTTCCAGTCCCGGTATATACGTATCTTCACACGGAACATTCAACTTTTCCGTCAGTTTGTCCTGTAAGTTTCTTGCTCTCCCGGCGTTGTCGGCTAGCTACAGCTTTCATTTCTTTCACTTGGCTTGCAAACAAACCGGCAATTTTTCCAGTCCCAGTATCTTCACGCAGAACATTTTGCCGAGCAGCATGCCGGCAGATTGTTCTCAGGTTCCGCCCCGTGCCTTGCCGATCCAGACGCATTTTCTGCTCGCAGTAATCCCCAGTCGTGTTGGAGATCGAGCGCGTCGCCCCGCGCAATGCGGCTGGCAGCTGAGGGCAGAAAATGGTGGAGAGAACGTACTCGTACAAGTAATTAGTTGATGTCGCAAGTGGATCGTCTCACCCGGAGTCTTCTACCTACGTTTTCTCGTATTCGTCAGAAATACCCCTGCATACCAGCGCCTCACCAGCAGGTTGTCTCATGTGCAATCGTCGTGAGAATCAATCGACGATTCGTCTTTCCTCATCTAGTCGCCAAGCCCAAGAAGCGTCATCAGGATAGACCCTTTGTACAATAAGCGAGGGGTGTCGAGACGGGGGATGCTACGCACGCTCTGCGCACTTGGAATGCAAGCAGCATGCATGGTTTGCTTCAGGACGTGATCAAGTCTGCTGTGTTTTCACGGTCCCGACGCGATGTTCATGTACTGAGTCTGTATGTACTTACCAGCCTTTTTCATTTGAAGTTTTTTTTAGTTCTGGAGGAAGAGGTTTCGAAATGCTTTCCAAGGACCACTGTTGGGTTCTTGTTTGCAGCAACCGTCATCCCTAGTCTAAGAACCCCACGTGTCTTTCCGTGCAATCCCTGGTGATGCTGGCATTTCACACTAAGACAATATGAAATTACAGGTCCTCCCTCGTTAGTAGATAATCTCCGGGCCATCGAAAAAGTAATCTTATAACGAGACATATCTTGTAGCAGGACTTGCAGCTAAAGATGAAATGGGCACTTACCAGGGCTACTCTCGATACAACATAAATTATTGATGCTTCAACTCGTTATAAGATAATTGAAAATCTTTCTTTGAAATAAGAGAGTGTCCGAGCAAATCCATTCATGTGTACGGCCGCATAACAAGAGTCAAATGAAATAGGTCAACACAATAAGAGCTGGCTTGAGCGTATGTAATGCAGCTCGCACGTACATCATGAAACGACTCGTAAACATCCACTACTGATCAATCAGGAGTCCATGGTGAGACACTTAGGGACCCGGACCACTCTTCCAGACCGCGTTGTCTGGATGTCAGTGCGGGCGCGTTGGGACTGTGGCGACTGTTGCACCAACACTTGGATGTTGTGCGTTGCACCAACACCGGGATCTTGGATGGTGTGGTCTTGTTGACAGGCTTTAACGGTCCAGGTAGCTTCGGGCTCGGTGGTGAGGATAATGCCCGGTCTGGTCCGTCAACTGCAGTTGTCGATGCGGGTCGGATACACTGTCGATTCCGCTGCAGGACACTTCCATTGCAGGAGACTTCATAAATGCGGCTCGACGTCTTGTCGGTGATTACTGCAGGCTGCCATTCTCTCAACTTGCCGTCGATCGGTTGAATAAAAACATTTGCGCCAGAAATGAGTGGCGGAAGGTCTTTCCTTCGGTGGTCGAGGTGCTCAGCTAGCTGCCTTCTGTCTTTTGGTCTCCTTCTTCTGAATGTCGGCTTACGTATCTGCAGCGGGCTTGAGGTGATCATTCAGGGCTGGCAACACAGTTCTGGTTCGGCGACCAAATAGCCGTTGCACGGGACTGGTCCTGAGACTTTCAGTGGGTGTGTTGCGGACATTCAATAACCCGAGGTATGGGTTGGACTTCTCTTCGTTGCACTTATTCATGAACTTCAATACCTCCTTGACGGCGGCCTCAGCAACACCATTAGATTTGCTGTTGCCTGGGCTGCTGCGCTCGTGTGAGAATTCCCACTTCGCAGCGAAGGCGCTAAATTCCCGGCATGAAAACTGGGAATCATTGTTGGAGACGACTACATCAGGGATGCCATGCCTCGCGAAGTGATACTTGATCTTGCTGATGCAAGTGCTGGCCAGGGTATCAGGAAGGAAATCAACTTCGTAGAAGTTGCTCAGGTAGTCAACTGTAACTAAGTAGTTTCTTGACTTGATGGTGAAGATGTCGATTCCTACTTTCTGCCACGGGCGATCTGGCACTGGGTGTAGGAAGAGTGTCTCAGGCTGCTTCTTGCTGGTATGACGAGCACAGGTTTCGCAGTTTTCGACGAACAGACTAATCTCACTCGACATTCCAGGCCAATAAACGAGGTCACGGTCTCTCCATATGCAGGAGTTGACTGCCATGTGACCGGCGTTTGCTTTGATTTTCACGGCATTTCGCATAGAGAGTGGAATGCCGATGCGCTCGCCACGGAGCAGAAGCCCGTCTTGTGCTGTGATTTCATCTCGGTAGCTGAAGTAAGGCCGTATTTCTGGTAGTACTAGATGGGGAGTGTCTGGCCACCCTGACATGACCTGGTGCATTAGCTTGGTGAGACTCGGGTCTTGCTGTGTAGCGAGGCGAATCTCATTGAGCTGACGCTCACTCACAGGGCAATGGTGAATGTTGAAGATTGTTGACAGACACCTGCTCGTCCTCGTCATCGGGAAGTGGAGCTCTGGACAGTGTGTCAGTAATGTGCAGTTTTCTGCCTGGTTGGTAGGCAGGGGCGTAGCCAGGATTATGGCTGAGGGGGGTGCTCACTGGAAGTGCTGGCCTGCGCCCGAAGGGCGCGAAAAATGGGGGGGTCGGGGGGCCCTCCCCCGGAAAAATTTTCGATATCGAGTGCCAAATCCTTCATTTTTGCATCTATTTCATTATTTTCCATTCCACCAATGATTCAATAAAAAGTCAGATAATCGTATGAAACGCACAGTACTTTGCTACAGAAGTTGGATGGTAAGAGATTGCACCCTTCGCAATGTCCTCCATGAAGGTACCGATGTCATTTCGGACGACTGCTACTGGTACAGCCAAGGGCGACAACTGCGGCTCTTCCGAGTCTTCGACTTCGACAATTTCGCAATTAGATTCGTCAGATTCGGAAATGGCACTGGCACTGCTGCTACTGGTATCTGGTCTCTTCGACTTCCCTCGACTGAAATACATGTACTTCAAGATCGACATTTTCATAAGAATCCATTCGACTTGCGGATCACAAAACGACGTTGACACTTCTCTTTCACTTCTACCAAGTCTAGCTACACAAAGTGCGAGTCTATAATACCGGTAGTTGTACAATGCGCAGTGCATCCGAAAACGACCAAACTCACATTCAAAGGCAAAGATCTACACACAACTATACTACCACGGTAGTACTAGTTCAAATTACAGTACCGGTAGTACACTACATTGTACTAAAAATTAATAATTTAGCACTACTGCGCCTAGCGCCTAGCGCCTGTCACCGGCGAGAACATGACCATGATGACTGCATGTGCAGCCATGCATGCAGTCTCAAGTGCAACCTGCATGCGCTACTAGTGATACAGTTGGCCGGGCCCCGTCGTGCAGCGCAGCGTCGTGTGGCGTCGATCTTGTCGACGTCGAGTCTCGATCGCGGGCGGGCGTAGATCCACAGCAGTACGAAAATGGTACCTGAAATTTTTGAGGGGGGTGCTTGGGCACCCAAAGCACCCCCCCCCCTGGCTACGCCACTGGTAGGAGAGCTTTATGTCGTATGGCTGGACGCGCAATAGCATGGACTGCAGCCGCTTCGGCGCTTTGCTTAGCAACTTCTGTGAGATGGATACTAACGGCTTATGGTCAGTGATGACATCAACGGTATGCGCACAATACGTGTAGTGGTGAAACTTCTCCAAACCGAGCATGATGGCTAGCATTCCTTTTTCTATCTGTGCATAATTGCGCTCGGCAAGCTTCAATGAACGACCGGCGAAAGCAATGGGGCAATCATCTTGCATGAGGACTGAGCCCAGGCCATTTTCGCTGGCGTCGTTCTACAATATGATCTTCTTGTTGGAATCGAAGAATGCCAAACCTGGTGTGGTGGACAACATCTACTGGATTGTCTTGAACGCGCATTGCTGCGTGTCAGACGACACGAATGACACGTCCTTCTGCAGCAGGTTCTGGAGTGGCTGCATGACATCGGTGAAGTTCGGAATGAAACAAGAGAGGTAGTTCACCTTGCCGATGAACTTTCGTAGTTCAGTGAAGTTGGTTGCAGCTGCCAAGTCGTTGATGACCTTGACTTTCTCAGTGTCGACTTCCAAACCATCCTTGGTGATGCGGTGTCTCAGGAAGCTGAATCTGGATATACCGGTTTCACTTGCTACTGTTGAGGCGGATTCCGATGCTATCACATAGCTGCAGGAACTTGGCTAAGTTGCCGTCGTGCTCAGCCTGATCTCGACCATGTATTACAATGTCGTCCGCGATAACGATGATGCCCTGGAGGTCTCCAAGCACACCTTGCAAATGTTTTTGAATTATCTCGGATGAGACGTTGGCACCGAACGGTAAACAGAGGAAACGGTATCGACCAAAGCATGTTTGGACCGTCGTCAACAGGCTAGATTCCTCGAATAGCTAGACGTGCCAATAGCCTGATGCCAGGTCCGCCTTACTGAACACGCTCGCTTCCCTCCGCTCATGCAGTTTGTCGTCGATAACCAGCATGGTGTAGTGTTCGCGCTGTAGGGCTTTATTTAGTTACTTTGGGTTGATGCAGACTCGTAGGGCTCCAGACTTTTTCTTTGCCACGACTATCTGGCAGACCCAAGGTGCGGGCTTGTCGGCGGGCTGTATGACCTTGAGGTTTACGAGGCGGGTCAGTTCCTCCTTAAACTTTGGGAGAACAGCTACAGGCAGGTCGGTTGGGCATAATAACCGTCTCGTCGCACTTCAGAGTCTGCTTGCCAGGCTGGCTGCTAAGCTTGTCGCTGAAAACGTCTTTGTAGTCCTCAGTCCAATCCTTGATTAGCGCAACGTGGTCGAACTGGTCATCATTCACTGTGATGAGGCCCATCGGCTCACATGTTTCCAGTGACAGTAGGGGAGTACATGTTGTATCTCTGAAGATCACTAGCTCGACGTCATACCGCTTGTTGTTGCGAGGATTCTTCAGGGTCTTTCGGCACGCTCCTACGGGCTTGATGTCAGCCTAGTCCCACGTCCTGAGCTTGCCACGGTATGGCCTGATTGCTGCTTGGCCAACATACGTCTGTGGTATCATATTCACAGAAGCTCCGGTATCAAGTTGAAACACAACTTCTTGACCATCCACTAGCATTCTCGTCTTCACTTCCTTCTTCATGCGGCTATGGAGCGCATCCAACCAATCATCATCATCATCACTGCTAGGCCATACACCTGGCGCGTGTGTTGGACTCGCTTGCCTTTCTGGCTGGTTGGGTGATACAAGGTCTTGGGTTTGCCCTGCTGACAGACTGACTGAAAATGATTCTGCTTCCCGCACTGCTTGTAGGTTTTGCCAAATGCAGGACATTTCCACGGTGGATGACTGTGTCCACAGTACCTACAGCTCTTGGACGCCACGTGCTGAACAGCGCACATGTCTGTCTGATCACCCTTGATGGGGAGGTGCTGTTCCGGCGACTTCTCGGATGCTTTACAGGCATCGACTGCGCGTTGCAGTGTTAGACCAGGCTCTTTCAGTAGCGCAGACTGGACTGACGCTCTAGTGACTCCAAGAACGATTCTGTCACGTAGGATCGAGGGAGTGCAATTTTCGCAATAGTTGCACGACTTTACCAGCACACGCATTGACGATAAGAATTTTTCGATCGGCTCGTCCGGCCCTTGGCTGGGGATTTTGAGCACATACCGCTCGAAGGTCTCGTTTACCGCCCCAACAGCGTACACATCGAACTGGGCAATAATCTCGGCCACGGTACAATTACTCTAAAAAAAAAACCGATTTTCAGTGCGTCGTCGTCAATCAAGCTAAGAAACATGGCTACCTGAAAAAACATCTGGGCGGTTGGTCAAATAGTTGTGGATGACGTGGTTCAGTCATTGTTGCTTGAACAGCCTCCAGTTGTCAGCACTGTTTCCTGTCACGCAGAAACGAAATTTGGCTGGGAATGGCGGGCTGTTTCCGGCGCTTGCACCACCACTACTGCTGCCGCTAGAATGACTACTACTACTGCTGCTGCCACTAGAGGAGCAAGCAGAACTGCTGCCAATAGAGTGACTTCTACTACTACCGCCCCCACTGCTGCCGCTACTGCCGACGCTAGAGGAAGGCGCAGGGGCTCAACTTTTCGAGCTAGACATTGTTGACTGGCGCACCTACGCCGAAATAAATAAATGTTCTACTGCAAGCACACAATGTAGCTACGGAAATACTAACTTGCTAGAGTGGAGTTCGGTATCCAGCTGCCACCATGTTACTTGACCAATCATATCTATAACCAACAATGCTACAATGCTACAGCCGTGTGAATGGCACCATACCAGGGAGTGGTAAGAACAGTCTCAGAACGGAGCAAAGGAAAAACCAATTGCCAGAAGCGTAAAGAGCAGACAGCCTAGCGAAAGCCTGAAACGCCAGCAAAGAGCCAAAACCCAATCCACGCATGACGTCACCTGCACATGCGTGGGGCACACATAATAACACACGTGTACGTGAACGCAGTACACGTGACACTAGGCATGCTCAGAACACATAAATTATGGTGACACTGGCTTGCTGTGGTGCTGGGTAGGTGATCACACTGCTCTTCTGGTGGCAGTGGTAGAGAATTTGTTGTTATAGGTACTTTGTCTGTTGACGTTGTCGTAATATCTGGACTCTGTTATGCGTACACTACTGTGCATTTATGACTGTATGTGTTGCATGCTGTATGTACGAATACTACAGATGTAAGATCCCAGCAGATCAAAGCAATGGCAGATAGTATGAGATATTGCATTTGATCACCTCTCTCTCTCTCTCCATTATCTCTCTCTCTCTCTCTCTCTCTCTCTCTCTCTCTCTCTACCACTCTCTCTTTTGATCTTCCTTTCTCCATTCTTGATTATCACCAACTCCTCTCTCGCATTTACCTGAGTTTACAGTCTTCTCCTTGTACCTTCTTGCTGTCCCGCACTATCTCTTTTCGCCGTAAACTGGCTACGTTGCTGGCGATCCGCCATGGCAACGCTCGTACCGTGATTTGCTGGTCGCATGCTTAACTACTTTGTTCTTTGAGTTTTCTCCATCGAGAAAAGAGAGAAATATTTTCCTTACAATAATGAATCTTTGAGTCTGATTCTAGAAATTGTAAATTGGTCCTTCAAGCCTCTCAGACGGTGGCTGACTCTGAAACTCGCCGAGGCGAAGGCAAAGGCAACCTTCACGAACCTTCGCTGCGGACTACTCGTCGCCATCAACGAACCAGATGTAGATAAAGACAAGATGAAGTACAGTCTTGTTTTACTTGAGAACGGCCTGAACTCTGTGATGGAGATCATCACTGAGTTATCCAGTGCATGTAGTCGTACCTTTCAGGACAATGTGTTTTTTTATTTTTTATTTTTCTTTATACGAAAGTCCACTATATTCCCGAATATGTGCGAGAAGTGGTGGCGGGGCCAGGCTGCTCTGCCGACCTCAAAGGTCTCGGCGTCTACGCAG